TTGTAGGTAAACAGAACGCTCCCGAAAACGCAGACAGGTGATAGTAAAAAACGAGTTTTATTTTTAAAAAAGTAAATTAAATGTTTATTTTATGTAATAATAGTTGTAATCAACTGCTCAAGGCTGATGTTGCATGAATAACACGAGAAACAGAAACGATTAAAATTGTAGAAATTGTCTTTGTTTTCGATAGCATTCCGTTTACACATCAAAGTCAAAGTCAAAATCATTTATTTCAATTAGACCAGGAAGGCACTTTTGAACGTCAAAACAAAATATTTTAATATTAATAATAAGAAAAAATGTCAGTCTGTAGGTCAGTCCTCTAGTAAAGCTATTTCCTCGTTCCAAAATGTAGATTCCTATGGAGAAGAACGAGCAAGAAACTCCATAGGTTACTCTTTTTCAATCATGTTCACAATACAATTTTTGGTTACATTCTTTCGTTGAATTCAATTATGTGAGAACAATGTAATACCAATATTTGGTCAATTAGACGGAAAAAGAAAATAACCTTGAGGACAACAAAAATACAGTCTGGAGCTGACCAGTCCCATTTGACAGCGCCCGTTCACGAACATGACACGTACACCAGCACCGCCCAACTCAACCATGTTGTAGGGAATCGAGCGATCCACTGCCCGTGCCACTGCCAATGAGACTTTTGAGTAAGCATGACAACTCCAAGCTGATTCATCATCATCATCTGAATCATCATCAGTCCGTATTCGACCACTGCTGGATAGGCCTCTCCAATGGCACGCCACTGAAGGGTCTTCACCTCTTCTCACCTGCCACTGCCGGCCACCTTGCGGATGTCGTCACTCCACCTAGCTGGAGCTGGCTGGCCTTTTACACCTGGTATGTCATTTAAATCTAGTACTCACCTTATTTCATAGCTTTGATTTAACTTAACTTAACTTTGAGTTACAAAAGCGTTACCGGCCTTTTGGGTAATTATTCCAATTCCGGATTCCGTACTACTACTGAGATTAAAAAAAAACTTAGCTCTACTTGGCCCGACACGGGAAATGAACCCGAGACCCCTTGCCCGGCAGTCGCATTTGCGTGCACTCAGCCAACGAGGCAGTCTGTCAGATCTGATAAATAAATAGTTGATAAACAAAATCTATTTTACATCAACCCGAGTAAAACCACAAGCAATAATTAGTTTAAACATAAATAACAAATTATTTCGATACGCGTTAAACGGATAATAGTAATTACGTAGGTAAGCAATATTGTTAGGTATGTATTGTTAAAATAATTACAACGGGTAAATAAATACATGATATTATTGTAATAATTTAGTTTATGATAAACATTTTAATTATATTTACATCGTGCCGTAATTGGGCACTTGCCAAATAGTCAAATTCACCACCTACCTACATTTTTCGATTTTTCGAACTGTCAAAAATGACAGTTTTCTATGAATTTTGTACGAGATTGTGTATTGTGACGTCACGTTTTTTTAGCGTCGAACAGCATACTTACCTATTACATAAAAAATTGCTAAATTATAGTAAAATTGAGTTGGTCGTAAAATCAATTAATGAAAGTAAGTATGATTATTTTTTATTATTTTATTGTACTGAACAGTCGATATAATTTATTTTTGATTAAGTAAAGTAGGTACCCAATTATTGTTACCATCCGAAAAATATAACTTCACGCCCGTCTTCCATGGGGATAGACAGGCAGTCTCTGTCTCTCTATCTATGGGACGCAAATTCTGCAGTAATTAGAGTCGTACGATTTTTTTTAAACGTTGCCCCACTCTAGGATTTTCTCCTGTGTCGTGGGTGCATTTACAGACATCAAGTTCACATACACACGACACCCAGACCCGGAACAACAATTTGTGGATCACATCTACTCCTGTAAAGTAACTTCAGTAATTACACAAAATGATGACGGTAGCCTAGAATACATATCTATCCCTAACCCTTTTTTCCCGAGGGTATATTAAACTGTCAAACACCAAGCGGTCGTGTCTACAAAACCGGTACTCGACGAGTTAATAGCTAACTTAAGGATTAATAATCAAGATTTCGAAGAGAATGGAGCAGCAGAGCTGTCTGATAAACCTTCCATCTTCCAATCCGCTTGTCAAGCGTAACGCCTGACGATTATGACAAACCCTCTTATGTAAGTGGCGTATTAACCTGCAGTAACTGTCACAGGCTTGCTACATAGGTTCAGACACCTCTGTGTAACGCAAATAAACTTCAAAACAACCAAAAACCTATCAGAAAGAAGAATAGAAAGAAAGAACTTTATTTCACGCGCTAAACATGTGGCACATACAGAGGCCTTAGTTCAAAACGAGTATGCGTTCTGCGCTCTGATTGGCCGGCTCGAATGAAACAACCAATCAGAGCTCCGAACGCGTACCCATTTCGAATACTTTTAACGTAAAACAAACTCGTACTAGGCCTCAGATAATAGACATACACTTCATTAATACTAATGTCCCAAGTCTTTTTTTTAAGGGGGAAAATCATCGAAGGTATTGTCAGACTCTTACTGACTAAAAACCACCTCGTTCCTTCTCCTGCGCTTCGAGCCGGAGCCCCAGTAACCCGTTAGGTTCTCCGCGACATGTCCCAAATCTGCGGTGAAATGGGACCAATTCAGTATCATGTAAACAATGGCGTAACTATAGGTACTGTTCGAGACCCGTGGCCAATTCATCGGATGGGCCCATCTCTGGCTATTATAACAGAGACGTTCTGGTGCGGATCCCGTTCAGCTAAGGAGGCCCGTGGCATTTTGCCGCCTTGCCATCCTGTAGTTCTACCTCACTGCACGAAACTTAAGTACTGATCTATTTTTGTAGTTATCGGTAGACCGACCGTAACAAACATGACCCAAAAGCTCTTAGGGCTTGTACACAAACCTGCGATGCGACGTCGCATTGCAAAATGTGCGAGCTTCCTCTATGCATCGCAAGAACTTGCGAATTGATTCGCATCGCGCATTAAAATCTTATCTTCCCAAAATCTTCTTTGTTTCTTTTTCCTGTAGATCTTAAGCAATAACAGAAGTGCACACTTCTTTTTATGATCCTTGTCGTGACCTAGATTTTAATTTAAAATACGTTTAGTACGGTTGACAGTCTTCGAAGGAATGGCCACCCTGGGAGACGCCTTGTCACACGAAATCGCATCGCAGCAATTCGCATCGTAACTTTTTGCGTTGCGAATTCGCATCGCATCGCAGTTTTGTGTACGAGCCCTTACTCCACTCGCAAGTCTAATCAAAACTTCAGAACCTAGGTATACCCAGGGGAATTAGGAAGTTTTTTCTCGTGTTTTTCTACCTACCTGGAGTCTCTACTCAGTTTAGAAATTACCGAACTTTTCTTTTCTTTATAGACTTGAAATGGAAAGTTTTCCTGTTATTCTTCAGAAGCAATGGGGTAGTTTTCTATGTCAAAATATATTATTTCGATTAGGTCATTAATCATGTTCGGTTCAATCAGCCTTTGTTATTTCACCTAATACAACAGGTGCGAAAATCAAAACTATAGTTAGCAGTTGCAATTAATCTTACCGTGTTACTAGTTCAAGTCTGTTCTAGAATCAACAGTTTAGCATCTAGTGGCCCTCATCATCATACCATCAACAAGACATGCACTGCTGAAGAGCTGAAAATATACCATTCATAGAAACACAAAGAGAGAAAAAAGAAGAAGAGAATTTATACTTCTACCAGGTCCGTTTTTCAGGTAATCTGCAGTCTCTAACCACCATAGAAGCCGAAGGTCAAATGCCTCGTGACCAGAACCCGATAAGCCATATTGTGTACAGGCAAACAATAAAGATAAATTAAGGAAACCACACTATGGACCATTTCCTTATTGTTATTAGAGGTTTTATTAATTTTGCCTAATACTGCCAAATATGTAGCAACAATAAATGGTTACTAATTAGCTGTTGTTTTAATTATTAAGTTAATACACTTATGTAGATAGTACAACCATCTTTTCACTTTCTTCTGAAGTCCAGGGCCGTTCAAATTTTGTCAGGACGACCCCGACAAGATTTGACGAGGCTAACTATATACCGTGGTCCAGATATAGGACAGTAGTTGGAACGTGGTGGTTCATCATACTCATTATCATATTAGCTTTAACACGTCCACTGCTGAAAATAAGCCTTTCCTAATGACGTTCCTCAATGACGAAAAGATTTCCCCAATGAGCCCCGGTAACCCTTACGGATATCCATAATAGTCTCGGTTAGAACAATAGCTCAAGGTCTTAATCTATAGAATATTTGTAAAAGTCAGCCAACATGTGTGTTAAGTTGGTTGGACTTATAGGGTCTTAAACTCACTAGCGCCATCTCGAGAACGCAAAATTGGAAACCCTCCTTAAAATTTTGCACAAAACCTGGTTGTTGGTTTGTTTGTTTCATTAGGTTATTATTTTTGGTGCAGGTACAGACAAAAAGTCCATGAAGATTATTTGTTTATCCAATTAAGCTTGTCAACTTGCTTGACAAATCTTTTAAAACCATTTACAGATTCCCAACCATTAATTTACATTTTTTATTTTATTTTATGTGATAAGCCAGTAATCGAGCTGACGGATCACCTGATGGTAAGTAATCGCCGCCGCCCATGGACACCCTAAACACCAGAGTCGTTACAAGTGCGTTATCAGCCTTTGGGGATTAGGAATTTAAGGATTGTTGGGGTTTCAGGGATTGGGGAGAGGAGTAATTGGGCCTCCGGTAACCTCACTCACACGACGAAACACAACGCGTTGTTTCGTGTCGGTTTTCCGTCAGGCCGTGGTATCACTCTATTAGAAAATCATGTTATACTTTTCTTTATTTTCTAACTCATTGGTGCCTACAGTATCAAAAAAAAAATATAGAGTGAAGTGCGATATTTATTATGAAATTCATTGATGTTTATGTAATAGTTTCTTGTGTTATTTAATACCATCACATTCCTTACTATTTCATAATCACGTCACCATGGTCCAGCTCCCCAGTCCATTACGGTCGCCATGCCCACGAGGGCAGCCTCACCACCGGCAAGGTGCAGCAGTCGCACGGAGTGTGCTACATCTCCTTCGCTGGACAAGAGCTCGGCTTCCCCGACTACGAAATCCTCATGCACTAGATTATACCACCAGTAATTATTTAAGAATCTCAGGATTTGTCCGTACGTGTAACTAAGGAACACAGTTTGAAGAAATCAAAGTCTTATTTGCGCGAACCTGTGTTGGGTAAAATTTAGGAACACAGTTTGAAGAACTCAAAGTCTTATTTGCGCGAGAACCTTGTCAGATCGATCAATATTAAAAGAACTTAATTGATGAATGAGTTCTGATTGAGCTTCGTTTGACTTAGAATGTGCAAGATGAAATGGTATAAGTTTAACTGGAAAGTCGTCGCCATATTCTCCCCGCTTGGCAGATGGGCCGGAGATTGCAGTTTAAAAAACTCTAGTTTTATTTAACAATGCCAAATTGTAATTTTAATGCCTCACAAAATATCCTCGAAAACGGTATTGAACCCGGGGTTTCACCTATGTACAATATTTATATAAGCGATGCAATATTTTGTTTGACACGGCACATAAAATATATTTACTTAATCAAAGCCAATAATGTTTTATGGAGGTAAATAGATAGACGTATGGCCATGTAGAGGTAGATAGCATTGTAGGTATTCTAGATTTTAAAAAGAATAATTATCTTTGTGTTGTTGTAAACTGATTAGACGAAGAACAAAGAGAGCCGTCTCCGATTTCGCACGCTATCAATTCCAAAACGGCTGTATGAATTTTCATAGAGATCATTTGATTCTTGGTTCCTGTAGCAAGTACCTATAGCTATTGATGTTCTATGACTACAGGAATTGAGCGTGGGTTAGGTTATGATCAGAGGTCCAATAACTTCTCCCGCCTTGCTTGAGGCGAGAGGGAATGTCAGACTGACTAAAAACCAACCCATTCCTGCTACTTTTTTTAAAAGAGTAACGAATGGAGTTTGTTGCTCGTTCTTCTCCATTCGAATCTACATTTTGTAATTAGCACCTAGCTTCAATGACGAATAGACTGACAGACTATTATTTATATTGTATTTGTTGACGTTTCAAAAGTACCAAATTATGGTTTAATTGAAATAAATGCTTTGACTTTGACTCCTGCTCTTTGAGTCGGAGCCCCGGTAACCTGTTATATTGTCGGCAGCTCCGGGATGGTAGGATAACTAAGAAAATATTTACCACTCAAGAATATTCAGTATACAAAGTTACCTACCTAAATACTTTAAACTGTGCAAATACTTGTATACATTATACAGTTCCACATTCATTCAACGTTACAAAAAAACAAATTCGCGTATTGTACAATTCATGGCCATATTGTTGTGTTTACAGCATACAAATTTTAACAGGCGAGCATCGAATCTCGACCCGTCTACTGACTGCTAATGAACTCAAATTTTACGAGCAGTGTCGCTTACATAATATGACGTAACGTCTTTGTGTGTGTTTGTATGTACATAATAATATAGGCATACATCCATTGGTATGTTTTGATCGATCGTAAATTGTCTGGTTTGTCTATGAATCTATATTCTGTAGGTACCATTATACATATGAAGGGGAATAGTTTGGTTGTCTGACTGCCTCGTTGGCCGAGTGGTCGCAAGTGCGACTGCCGGACAAGGGGTCTTGGGTTCGATTCCCGGGTCAGGCAAAGTATTAATGGGTTTTAAAAAAAACTCAGTAGTAGCACGGAGTCTGGAATTGTGCCCGGTATATGGCAATAGGCTCACCCCCTATTGCATGGGACTCATAACATAAATGGTGAAAAGTGGGTGTTACATTGTAAAGTGGCATAATATGTGCACCTCTGCCTACCCCTTCGGGGATAAAAGGCGTGATGTTATGTTATGTTGTTTGTTTGTGGATGCGTTTGCAATAAGTAGGTAGGCTTTGAAACTAAGAGTTCATACTGAAAAATTTCTTTCAGTAGATGAGAAACTTACTTTTCTGAGAGCAACATAGGTAGATCACTTTTTGTCTCGATATTTAATTTTATACAGAATCAGTATCTAATCTAGATAAATCCACTGTACCTACTAAGTTCTTAATTTCTGAAATTTTTCTGGAATTGTCCAAGTTGCCATTAACTCGTTGTTCTCTCGACAGTTTAAAAAGTCTCAAAAATAAACCTGAAACCAACCGGTTACGAAACACTTAGATACTTAAAGTTGGACAACATGAGAAAATTATATTTTATTTAACAAATCATAAATAGGTACTTATTTATTATGCTTAAATCGTACAATTGATTATCCTACCACCCAAATTTAGACCATTCCCATTATAGGATGAATGAATTCAATTCAAATTAAAAATGTGGGCATCTAGGCACAATACCATTGTCGCGGAGAACCTAAGGGGTTACCGGGGTTCCGGGTCGAAGTGCAGGAGAAGGAACGGGGTGGTTTTTAGTCAGTAAGAGACTGACACTTCCTCCCGCCTCATCTAGGCGGGAGCAGTCATTCGATGATTTTACCCCCTTAACAAAAATAGTCACAATACAATGCCATAACTCATGGGAATAAAAGAATGATATAACTTCATGTTTAACTAATTAAGTTACAATGAAATTCGTAGATTTATGAGCGATGTGAGTCAACTATGGCCTACAATCTATTTGATTATTCTATCCCAGTAGCTGGGCGCCTATCACACAATAAAATAAATTGCAAAGGCTTAAGCTCATTTCATCAAAACGCCACTACGTGTAGCTATGTACATTTATCATGTAAAACATAGCCTCGCTCTGCTACGTCGGTTAAATAATTGTTTCTATTAAGTGTTATTTGGCAGTTCGACACGTTTGCACGTGCGTATTTCATTCCCGCCAATTGCCATATTGTTTCTAATGTCAAATCAAATCAATGTTATTTTTTTATTTTGTTTCTATGGAAACTGTGAAAAAAGCTTTTGAGAGCCTAAGTACAGACTGTTCTGAAATCTTTAAAACTGGCATTCACGAAATTTTGGCTAATGGAAACTTATCTAATCAAAACATAGGTACTTATCTATTGTAAAAAATACTCCCAGTTAAGATAGGTTGATGAAAACAGGCATGAAAGGTCTGTAGTTAACTTTATAGGGCCAATTTTTTAACAATCAGTTAATTCTTAAATGGAAAATAAAATTGACATTAAATTTGACAGTTTTTCGTATAGAAGAATTGTCAATTATTCAAATATATTCCTCGGTTAAGAATTAACTCATGATTGAATAATCAAATATTCAATTTACTGAAAACTTGCCTACCATAATATAGTAGGCAGATAAATGAGTACCTATATTACTGAATAATAAAAAAATCCTTTTGAATTTTATGATTACCTTTATTCATTCTACATAAACAGCTACTTACCTACCTAATTATAAATAGGTAGGTATAGGTATTTATTTTCATTTAATTCGTCCTTGACATTACACTTCCATGTCTACTTGTGTTAGTAGGTAGGTAGATACTAACTCTAGGTACGACCTACATAAATACTCTACCTACTTATATGGAGTTACTTATTTGAGTTAAAGTTACATTGTCTAAGTGGGTAGCGGTAAAAACGGACGTTCACGTATTTATGAGTTTATTGATATTTAACTCAATTCGTAAAATTGATTACTCAACATGATTAGAACATGAACAATGAATATAAAATGAATCATAGTTTACTGGTAGCATGACTCATTATGTGTTAATGCTGCCATCTAGCGCCGCAATGTTCAAACATTTAACCTCTTTAGTGGTGAATGTGACATGAGTCACGTTGTCAATAGTTTTACAATGAACGACGATAGATGGTAGATGTATCGAAAATATTGTAAAAGTAATAATTATAAAATAAAGATAACATACATTTTATCGTTATTAAATCTTGTGATATATCGATAATATGTATTTTTTAAATAATACAAATGTTTCTAAGAAAATTTTTACTCAACTGCAACAAACTTGGCTGTTTGCAACGTTGGCCTATGCTTGAGTTTAGGTACGAATTTCTATTGCACAAAAAATAAAAAAAAAGTGCGAGGTAGCGAGAAATGGCGTCGCAAGTTGTTTTTTATTCGTAATCAATGTGTTTCTAATCATTATAGATGATTGTAAAAGCTATACATATTGTTAAGATAATACTGATCAGTTCCGTCGATGTTTAATTGAAGAACTGTGGTTATTTTGACGTGATTACATCTTTGACCGTCGGACAATGGCGTCGTCGAACGAAGCGAGAGTTACCAATGTAAAAGTTAGTGAAAATCGCGATTTCGTGGACGATTACTGTGGCTCCAATAGCTTAGAAGATGCCGGCGAAGGTGCTAAGCGTCGTCGTACAGCATACGACTGCAAAACTGTGTCTCAACAGGGATGCGGGACAAGTGTGTCAACTGATCTAAAACATACACCATCATCTGAAACCAAAGGTAGTATTTCGTTCTATATGTACTTACTAATCTAGCACACATCGATTTAGAATATTCAATAAGGTTGCTATACTAGTTTATTGTATTTCCTCTGTTAATATTTTGGTGGGAAAGATGTTAACCTCTAGTATTGTGAATTACATCATTAGCACTGAGGTCGTAGGTGTTTATAAACACAACACACGCTTTCCATACGGCATTATTATCTTTTTAGCTACTCAGCATAGTTATTTTCTTTCTTCGAAGCTCCTTTGAGGTGAATAGATATGGTTTTGTATGGTTGTAAGGCACTTGCATCATGTCGACCTTGAGATTGCTAAACTGGTACTTTCTATTTGATAATATAACTGTACATTGCAACTACTCCATTATAAACTTAAGGTTATAGATATTGGTAGCAAACCTTGGTGGTGGTTTGTGAAAATATTGTCTATTGTGTCCCAAAATCATTTGTTACCGTTAACAATACATCATTTATGATCTGCCAGTTATTTTGTATTAGAAGTTCATTTTTATTGTTAAATAAGGTTTAATATTAGAAGAAACACATGAATATACCTTATTTAAATGTTTTTACAGGGAATCTGATCAGTTTGGTATAATATGGAACTTGTTTTAAGTTTATATTAAACTTGGGTAATTTCAACTGCATAATCTGCTGCATCTTATTGCATAACACAGTTATAAGTTATAAATTAACCTTCTTTTACTTAGATACAATCTTTAAATGCTGTAGATGTTCTTTTAAAATATAAATAATTATTATATTTTTTAAATTAAGGTCTATCTCCAAATGCACAACTAACTTTCCTAACGGTTGAGTTTCATTCTTTTTCAAATTTAGCATTATTGCTGAAAATGATCAAATTGTCACAATCACCCTAAATTCTAACTTACATCAACATGTCTTTGAAATAAATGATTATTTAATATTGAATTAATTAAAATTGAAACTCCATATCCCTAATTTGAGCCAATAACCATTTTATATAATAGATAAATAAATAACTATTGATTTGATCATTCACTATCACTTGGGACATTTAAAATGGTCAGGCAATGATTGAAAAGCATTTCATTAACTCTTTTCGAGATGGCACCCATTAAACTGTCAAACACCGAGCAGTCACCGGTGACCACAACCTATTGTTCTTTAATTGTGGCTATAATGACGGTACTCAACGAGTTAATTTACACAGTATAAGCAAAAAATTACTACTATTAACTTATCAATGTCAAGTTTATTTTTCTTTTAACCAAACATGGTTTTCATTTCTTTTATTATAAGTCGAAAGTCAAAGCGTTTATTTAAATTAATCCTTGATTAGCCTTTTGAAACATCAAATGAATGAGAATATGTCTGGCAACTGACAAAAACCTTAAGTATTTATTTACTTATAAAAATGTTATTTACCTATTTGTAAACCAGTTATTTATAAATTCAAGTCAATCTTTTTGTTCTCCATTAGAAATAATTCAGTACTTATGATGATAAAGATTAATTGTTTATTGTTTACTATTAATAAACTTATTTATTGATAAAACAATACACTTCCTTATTCCTGGTTGTATGAAGTGATAATACAAGACAGAAATAGAAAATTTGTCAATTTATTCAAATTAAAATTAATTCCTTAAAAAAAAGAGTGTTTTTAGCTTTCCCTGCTGTCAACATCAATGTTTATATGTAAAATATGTTAGTCACATTCATTACCAAAAATCGTCATTAATTTTTGATCCTATTCATGTCTGAAAAGACCAAATGTAACATATAAATTTAATTATGTAAACCTTCATGGTTTATATTTGCTAATGTCCCCTGTCATTGATTGATTATATGAAATTTACCAGAAAAGATAGTGTGATTTTGTTAATTAATCATACTTTTTGATAAGGAAGTATAATATGTTACAAAACAACTTCTGGAAGTATTTCATTGAAGAAAATTACTTGCATTTTCAATTTTTATACTGCAATTAACAGCAATGATCAAATCAGACCTGTACCACATTAAAAGTATATAGAATTATTGTAATGTCATACCTATTTGCAGATTACATTAATTATATCAAAATAGATATTCTCTTTACACATCTAAAAATTAGGAATTATGGAATAACCAAAATTATCCCCAGTATCACCTGGAATGCCCGATGATTAATAAAAATTCCTTTCAACTAACTAATAATTTTTTAAAGTCAAAAGACACTTCGAAATACTTTGATTTCCTCCTTGTTACTTTGAAAGAGGAAAACAATATAATTTTCCTTGTAACTGAAGTTAATTCAAGATTCATACTAAGTTTATTTTTAAGAAATATAAATAAAGCATAATTGATTGACTAATTCATATTCAAAGTTGATAAAATTAAAATATAGACATTGATTTACAACCTTTTATTTGTGTTGTTTATACATATTATGTACACGCTGTGAAATCGGTTTTTATTTTCTTCCCGAAGTAAAATGGTACTGTTTTGATAATACAATAGTTTAATAAAGAAATAAAATGTTTTAAACCAAAAATTAATGGTGAACCATTGCAAAAGCAAACTTCAGAATTGCATGAGAAGTCATAGTACATTATCAAAACATAACGCCATATAATTCTTGAAGAGGTATTTTCTCGTCGGGTGGCACGTTTGTTGCGAATAGTGCCTACAAATTTACGTCTAGTGTTTCATGTGCGTTTCTCCATAATTTTTTTTTACTAAAAAATAATAATAATATATGCTTTATTGTACACCACACAATCGCATTATAGGATAAATATTAACAAAAATAGTGTACAATGGGCGGTCTTATCGCACAAGGCGATTTCTTACAGACAACCTTTGGATGGAGTAGCAATAGGAGTCTGATATGGGTCGTCGAGTGTACAATAATTAATAACTGTATAAAATACTATACATATTATACAAAAATACAAAGAAAACAAAAAAAAAATGCCATCTTTATTTTTTAAGCAAACTTATGGCAAGTTGTTTTGCGACGAAAACGAAATAGATTTCATAGTCTGAAACTATAACAATAGACTTCCGTCTTGTTACATTTGCATAATTAATTGGTAATCACAAGTAACATCGATAAATTGTAACATTAATTGGTGAACATTTTGTGTTGCATTCTGGTTCACTGAGTCCTACGAAGATTGTATGTTATGGAAGCCCATCGTTACTAATCACCCTAATATAATAAATGTAAAAGTTACTTTAGTTTGCTTGAACCGTCAATCATGCTGAAACTACTGAGCAATACAATTTGGTAACGGGTGCGGTATGGGCTGACTTAGTATCCCAAAGTATCCTGTGATAGGATGAGTCGATGGTTTGTCCCGATGAGGGATAAAATAGGAATCTTATTCTACGCGGACGAAGTCTCGGGCAACAGCTAGTATTAAATACTAGTGCTTTTGTTTTGTCTATCTTTTACATCACATTATTTTTTTAAGGGGAAAAATCATCCAATGACTACTCCCGCCTTGGATTGGCGAGAGGGAGTATCAGACTCTTACTGACTAAAAACCACCCCATTCCTACTTCTGCTCTTCGAGCCGTAGTCCCGGCAACCCGTTAGGCCTTCCGCGACTCCGTAACTATTTTATGCCTAAAAGTGATAGTGAAGGCTTGAGACACTATATTTCCTTTAATTCATCCTGCCGAAACTATGAAAATTAAGAAATCCAATAAGACAGAACTTGTTCTACACAACCACCTTTATAAAACTAAGTTTAATTATCTCTACTATATGGTATATTTGCAATTAATATTGTTACATCAATGTAATTGCTGTTAGTCTATATGCAACTCATCAAAATGCAACTCACATCCATATACCCTCCATGTTGTTTATGTTTTTATGTCAAGTTATAATTAGGTACTGTTTACAAGGCAAGTTATTGCTCATTGAATGTATACTTCTCCTATTTTGGACACTGGAATAAACTTTTTAATAAAGTCTCCATATTTTGTTGTTTTATGAATATTATTTTTATGTTTTGTGTCCAACTTTGACGTGTAATGAAGTTCTCACATGTAGATTGGTTGTTTCAAGTGACTAGTTCCATCTGTTTACATATATGTAGTATATTAAACTACTTATTATTGATGGAAGTAGTACTCAGTAGCTTACAATCGAAATGGAAACATCTTCAATAAAATCTGGTAAAAAACCATAAGACTCGTTTTTAAGTCACAAGACACACATTGAGTAACGATAAGCCGTATGTGGGTTTGTGTCTTCTATAATTTTAAATAACTAGTTAAAACTTATCGCAATCTTTCTTTTTACAGGTAAAAAGCGCAAGCTCAGCGAATCATCAAAAGAGCTATGTGTGTGGGGCGAAAACGCTCGACCGTCGAAACAGAGCAAGATATGGCCAGTGTTCGACTCCGGAGGGTACGGCAACGGAGCTGTAATGAAGCTCAATGTCCTCAAGAAGACACCTCCCATTAAGAACCCCTTACTCTTCCACACCACCTGCAACCAGGACATTGAACTCTCAGAGATCAACCGCGACCCCTTCAAAGCAGACTGGTTCGGCGGCCTCCACGCCTGGTGGAAGCAAACCCAGATGTCCAACAAAATGGCTGATGATGACGTCACAAAGAAGATCTTTTCTTCAGTCTCCCGTCAACTGAGAATCATCAACACCCATTTTCAAAGGTCCATGTTTAAATACAAGTATCCAAGGGTCACAAGACAAAATGTCCTTTTAGAGAACTCCTCGGGGATTCGAAGACCAGCTACTCATTTTAACTTGACATTGAAAGCTATCAGGTTCCAGTGCAATCCTCGGAGAGAGTTGCCCTGCTATGGCAATCTGGAACTGCCCCTGAAGATAAAACAAGAGAGTGTGAACTCCCAAGTGTTTCCTGCTATAAGAAGTGTTAAGAGTGAGACAGTGAGTGACGTGAAGGTTAAAGTAGAGAAGGAAAGGGACAGGGAGAAGGAGAAGGAGCGAGAAAGGGATAGGTGAGATATTTTGAATATTTTGTACACCACATTTGCTTTTGTTGTTCTCTGAAGGGGAAAAGACCTCATGTAGAATCTCTTAACTATGTATCACTCTGTAGTTTCTGCCTTATCATATGGAACGAACGTGTGGAGGAGTTAGGTCCTGGGAGCCAAAAGTCAATGTCAAAGCATTTATTTCAATTTAACCATAATTTGGTACTATTGAAACGTTAATAAATATTTGAAAAGTCAGTCCGTCAGTGAAGCTAGATGCTCATTCCAAATTGTAGATTCGAATGGAGAAGAACGAGCAAGAAACTCCATTCGTTACTCTCTTAAAAAAAGTATGTTCTACAATGTCTCTGATACATATTCTAATACTGTACGTATATGTGAGAACAATGCAAAACTTTTCCATGCGCTATGTGTGTTCATGAATACACAAATCAACTCTTAAGTTGTTGCTAAAAATAATAATTGAGAACATATCCGATAATACTTAACTAACATGAGAGTAAGGCAGTAATCTATCGAAAATAAATATCACCTGTTAATTGAGCTGATTGTAAACCGACACATGCGTACTGCCTTCAGAACGGGTCCGCTCAAACTGTTGTGGTTCTTTCCTCAAAAGGCCACTACAGAAAGAACTTGCACGGTTCTCACACATAATCTTTTATACTTATTTGTCTGGACTTTAAAAGAGATGGACCTCTGAGTTTGTTTCGGCATTTCTTCTCAGAGTAGTTAGTAGTAGTAGTAGTGGGTAGTCTCAGTTAGAAAATGTCGCTTGATAAAATTCACGTGTAAAAGTGCTGCCTTGTAGCCTATTTGCAGAAATAAATTCACTTGTTTCGCTCACTATCCATTTCAAATGTTTAGTATTTTACTACCAAGTATACATTACTAAGTTTGTAACCTCCACTCTCCAGGTCATCCCACCGTCACTCCTCCTCATCATCGTCATCGTCGTCCTCCTGTCACCACTGCCGCCGCCGCGCCCGTATCAAGCGATGCTCCATCGGCGTCCAATGCCGCAGGGACAGGGCCGCCGGGGCACCTCTACCCAATGATAGCTGGGGACCACTTGCTGAGACACCCACTGTCAAGGAACTGAAGTATCACCGGTGAGTGAAATGACATGGTGTAGGTACAAGTATTATTTATATCTGACTTTTAATTCGGTTCAATAACAAAAATGACATATGTACTACCTTGTATGAAATCAGGTAAAAATGACAGTTTTGAGTAATAAAAGATAGCTATAAAAAATATTGTATAGCTATCTTGTCCATATTGTCAATAGACAATGGAAAATAAAAGTTTTATTTACTATTTACTGAAATATATTTTTACTAATGTAATTGTGATGTAACTAATCGATTTTGTTCCATTTTGAGTTCTATAGTTTCATGTAACATCGCTAGATGTTATATCGCTTCATCACTACATAGTTTAAATCAAAGTCGCTATCCGCCGTCTGTCTGTCCCTATATACGCTTAGATCTTTAAAACTAGACAACGAATTTTGATGTAGTTTTTTAATAGATAGAGTGATTCTTAAGGAAGATTTATAAATATGTGTATACACATGCATTTTGCACCCGTGCCGGGGCGGGTCGCTAGTATCATTTAAAATTTTCTAGTTTTGTAAACAGAAATAAGCATTATTGGTATTATTGCCAACACCATATAGTTAAAATTACAATAAAAATGTACTTTTTAACAGATTGATGCGAGTGGAGACGCATCCCAACGGCGGAGCGAGCGTGGTGTACCTGCACCAGCGCGACGTGGACATGCTCAGCGCGCCGCAACAGGAGGCACTCGCTAAGGAGTTCTTGAAGGTATGTCGAACATAAATAACTAAATCCTTTGAAAATATGGGAGTGTGTGTCCTTTGAAAAAATGTGTGTTCAGAGAAAATGTGTCTATCAGTAGGTCAATCTTTAAAAAGTTCTAGCTGTAAGCATAGTGTATAGAGCATCTATAAAAGAGCTGAATGTCTAACTCAGTGGCATACTATAAAAAAGAGATACCCAGTTCAGCAGTGGATAAGAATGATCTTAATATGGTAATATGATCCATCTGTAATCATCTTTAACTCGTCGAGTACCGGTTTTGTAGACACAATTATAGAACAATAGGTTGCGGTCACCGGTGATCGCTTGGTGTTTGACAGTTTAATTCTTAAGATACAAAAGACAAAAAATGAATTCCCGTTCATTAGTCTCGCTAAAACTCGAGAATGGCTGAACCGATTTACCTAATTACGGTTTTGAAATGTTCGTGAAAATCCAAGGAAGGTTTATAGATAGTGAGGAATAAATGAGAATATGTTGGCCTGTTGTCACATCATTTTTGAGAATGACAGGTCTGTCTAAGATACTTCCTGAAGGAGGAACTATGATCTTTATGATTCTCTGGACTAAAATTCTATTTATTTTCCAGCTGGTATTCTCAGAAGACAGTGCAGGGTGGGCGCACTTTGTATGCGGCGTGGTACGCGGCGCGGCGGGCGCCTTCCCCTGTCTGCTGCAGTATCTGGCGTCGGCGCACCCCACGCTCACTGTGAAGGCAGGGGTGTTGGCCCGGGCCTCTGATATCGAGACTACTACCGTCAGCCGATATTATCAACAGGTAACTTGGAACTTTTTGGAAGTCTAATAATAATGATATATTATTATGTTTTGAATTGTAGCTTCTTGTCTAAAGACGTTAGTGTAGCAAAAGGAGCTCATTACTAATTTTCGTAACAATCCAAAAGATCTACGAGTGTTTTTTATGAGATCTGAAGGAAAATGACTCATCATTTGATGGTAAGCTATCAGCGCTGGCTAATAGAATGTCCATCGCCATGGGTACTACAAGTGCTTTACCGGTCTTTTCAGGGTAAAAAGCGATTAGAGGTCAAGTATCCTCACTCATACTACGAAACAAAACATTGTTTCACGTCGGTTTTTTATAAAACCATGTGTGATTAAGTACAGGAGAGCCATGCTTCGGCACGAATGGGTTGGCTCGACCGGAGTGATACCACGGCCGAGCAGAAAACTAACGTGAAACAACGATTGCGTGGTATTTCGTCGTGTGAGTGAGGTTACCGGAGCCCAATTATCCATCCCCCCTTCACCAATCACCCCAATCCTTAAATTAACGGCCGGTAACGCCGGTAACGCACTTGTAACGCCCCTGGTGTTCCGGGTCTCGATGGGCGAAGCCGATTGCTTACCATCAGGTGATCCGTCTGCTCGTTTACCGGATTATTCCATAAAAAATAAACTAATATAACTTCGATCGAGCCTATTCATTTGTGCCAAAGCATAGTTTTCCCATCTGAGTTTTGATTTGAACCTAATACCTACGTTTACTTGTAGTAATAAAGTTGTTCTCCCCTATAGGTGCAACAGTCGTACGCGGCGGGTACGTTCCGCTGCGGGCCCCTGCACCAGATCTCCCTGGTGGGCACCGTGCACGAGGAGGTCGGCGGATACTTCCCCGACATGCTCGACATGCTCTCCACATGCCCCTTCCTTAATATGGTCAGTATTACATTGTTTAATTAACTAAAAGGCCCGGGCTACTCACGTGAAAATACTGATAGGCTGCGAGACATCGCCGCGCCCGCTGCTCATGAGGAAGACCCCCTCTGTGATTCGTAAAAACTAGTAGAGCTTTTCTCAGTATTTTTACGTGAGTAACCCATGATTTTTATGTAATTTAGTATACCTCACGACGGTTCTTATATTACATAATTATAAAATCATTAATGCCGGAATACTGAAACGTTACTCAATTTTAAGTCGTGCTTAAATATCGTGCCATCTCTGTCATTTTACAAAGAATTTGTAGAGACAGAAATATACTTAAGGCTTTGGCTGCCAATAAAAAACTGTTGAAGGCAAATCCTCCGCTAATGTCGGTCACCGGTGACTGCCATGGCGTTTAACGTGTTAAGCACGACTTAAAATTGAGTAGCGTTTGAGTATTCCGAAATAAGCCTCCCAAATTCATAGTCACATTTAAAATAATAATAAAAAAAAAATGTTTAATTCTATGAAAATCGAAGATTTTCTGTCTTTTGCGATTTCTAGCAGTATAATAATAACAGCTCCTATTTTATTATTTGCATTATTTTGATGAATAAGTGCATAAATCAGATGAAAGCTTTTAAATTAAATAACACAATTTACCATACAGATTAATAAAATTTTTGCTCCCTCATTCCTCGTAAGTAAAAAACCTTGTTCATTGCTAGTCTCAAATAACATAATTATTGCTTCCTTCCATAGACAATGCCGTGGGGTCCAATGTCAGCAGTGGAGATGGAGCCGCAGGAGTCCAATGACGGACCCATTCTGTGGATCCGACCTGGGGAACAACTTGTACCCACTGCTGAACTTGGGAAGAGTCCCATTAAGAAGAGGAGGTATGTCTATATGATAATATTTTGATCTGACAATTGTTTGAAGGGAAACTATCGTTTTTTTTCTTTTTCTCTTATAATATCTTCTGATTCACTTCGTTGCGGGAACCAAGACAGTTATTCATGTCCTTGTGACGCGCCGAACTTCAGTGTTCCAGTGTTTTCATGGTTGTACTACTGTAGATCCTGGCTTATAGAAGTTGCAGCGGTTTTGGGAGGTTGTGGCGAGCTTGTCCCATAAAAAAATTGTATGAAGGGAACAGTTAGATTTCACTATTTACCTTTTACTATGAATAGGTATGACGACAGGGTATGAAAATTAGAAATATAATTAGACCGTCAGTTAAGTAAGGAACAAATATTAGAAAATAATACTCAGATAAAACGAATTAAAGTTTAAGACTGGAAGCTAAAGGTACCTAGAAGTGACGTCACTCTATATTTCAAATCAACATACCGTTGAAAGTATTTGTTTCTGTAAGAAAGTAAAAAATACGTCTAATGTTTTAAAATAATCTATTAGATGGACATTCAAATAAACATTAGCCATTTTGCGCTGCGATGACGCCACTCATATTGTTATTACATTTCCTTGCTTTAATTAGTAAAACTCAACACCAGCTTTGCTACCTGTGTAGCCTTACCTTGGGAGATATTAAGGATTATTAGAATTAGAAATAAGTCAGTACTAAGACTAATTGATACTAAAAATTCCTTCTCTCTGCAGGACGGGTATAAACGAGCTCCGCAACCTCCAGTACTTGCCGCGCTGGAGCGAGGCGCGGGAGTTCCTGTTCGAGGATCGAACCCGCGCACACGCAGACCATGTCGGGCACGGACTCGACAGGATCACCACTGCTGCAGTTGGTATGTACCACTTATGCCCGAAATTTATAATAATCACCGATCCTAAACCAAAATTTGTGAATCTGCCTCTGTTTTTGGCAGAATCTCCATCTAAATTATGTCAAAATGTATTAAAAACTAGCTACTTCCGCGCGGTTTCACACGCTCTGCTCAGCTCCTATTGGTCGCAGCGTGATGTTTTATAGCATATAGCCATCCTCGATAAATGCGCTATCCAACACAAAAAGAATTATTCAAATCAGACTTGTAGTTACGGTGATTAGCGCGTTCAAACAAAAAACAAACTCTTCCGCTATATATAATAGTATAAGATTTCGGCTGTTACGTGGTAGATGTGTCTGAGGTCTCCAAGGCCAGAGTGTGTAGGAACAGGTTCACTATATTTTGTTTTAAATAATTTATTTCTCGTACACAGGCGTACTAAAAGCGATCCACTGCGGCGACGAGTCCGACCGCGGCCGTATAACGAAGGACGTCGTGGCGTTCCACGCCGCAGACTTCAACAAACTGGTGCAGCTCCTACAGCTCGACCTCTACGAGCCTCCCATCTCTCAGTGTGTCACCTGGTACGTATACTCAGTACTAACTGCTTCAAGAGAAACGAAAAATAATCTATAGTATACTTTTCATTATATGAAATAGATTTTTGCGAGGTAAATGAGCTGACGGATTACTTGATAGTAAGCAATTGGCAGTGCTCACGGACACCCGCAAAACCTAAAATGTTACAAGTGCGTGGTCAGCATTTTTTTATCGCATAAGCCGGTAAACGACCATACGGATCACCTGATGGTAAGCAATCGGCGTCACCCATGGACACACGGAACACCAGAGGCGTTACAAGTGCGTTACCGACCATTTGGGGATTAGTAGTTTGGGGCATTTTGGGGGTTTGGTAGTTGTGTGGCGAAAGACAAAGTTTCTTTTCCATTAGTTTTTTTGTGAAACCGTGGGACCACTCTCATCGAGCATTTTCCATCCGATTTTGCTGGCAGAATATAATATTTTTAGATTAAACTGTCAAACACCAAGCGGTCACCGGTGACCGCAACCTATTGTTCTATAATTATGTCTATAATGATGGTACTCGACGAGTTAAACAACGTTTAAAACAAAAATATTAATATATCTTTATACATCCTCAGGTTGGAAGAAGCGAAGTTGAACCAGCTCCGTCGTGAAGGCGTGCGCTACTCTCGCCTGCCGCTGTGCTCGGACGACATCTACTTCCTGCCGCGGAACATCATTCACCAGTTCCGGACCGTGTCTGCCGTCACCTCTGTCGGTTAGTCTAATATTATATTGTATATTGTCGATATTATCTTCTGGTAGGAGAAACTTACTGTAGCGGTACACTACATGGTGTGAGTACGATTCAATTTAAATAACCTTTTTTTTTGTTTCCCCATGAAGTAAAGAAAATCGTGAGGTGGAGCAGCGAATTCTTTATTAAAAACATAACATCACGTCTTTTATCCCCGAACGGGTAGGCACAATACGCCACTGTACAATGTAACACCCACTTTTCACTATTTATGTAATGAGTCCCATATAATAGAGGGTGAACCTATTGCCCTATACCGGGCACAATTCCAGACTCCATGCTACTACTGAGAAATCTTAAAAGAATCCAGTAATACTTTGCCCGACCTGGGAATCGAACCCGAGATCCCTTGCCCCAGGAATCTATCCTCAAACACTAAATGAGGAGTGGACAGTATACAACTGAGAATTCATTCGTAACTTTTTTGGCAAACGAGTCTCCAAAACGATCTTGCCTCGTAACTTAATTTTTTTTTACTAATTGCAAAAATTTTTACCCCCAGCATGGCATTTACGCCTGAAGCAGTACTACCCTACATCGGAGGCTTCCTCCCCGGCTGACGAGCGACCCGCAGACCCTGTACCTGTCACCATCAACCATACTACGACTACGGGTTAGTTTGTACATTTGTACATACGGCTACACATCGAGCTTTACATAACCTGTATAAACTGAACGTTAAATGTGCGGAAAGATGATGCGACGCGACACCAGGATAAACTGGTTTTGTATAGATTGATATGTGGCCGTGTGTACTTGTCATACATTTTGTCATATGATTTTGTTTAAGTTTTATGTCATGAATAAATAGACAATTATACTGTCCCCACTGCACTGCTGAATGGAGCGCCAAATAGTCAAAATAAGCAAGTGTAGTAACGAAAACTACGATACTTCCGAGCTCGGTGAGCGACTCAGTGACCAACTGAGAATGTCATCTTTATAATTCCGAGAAAATCTTGTGTATGTGGCAAAAAATGTGAGTTAATAATAAATATTTTATATTTCCAGAGCCTAAAAAGTCAGCAAAACACAAAGCCGGAGTCATCGAGATGCGGGCACTGAGCGCGAAGTTCCACCAAAAACTAAATCAGAAGTCGGCACTGAAAGTCGCACCTAACAGGAAGAGCGTCGAAACACAAGTCAAGAGCACAGACAAGAAAACAGACACAAAGTCTGACAAACAAGACACAAACAAATCAGACAAAATCGAAGCCAAATCTGAAAAGTCAGAACCAAAAGTCGAAAAAACAGAATCCAAAGTTGATAAATCAGAACCCAAGTCTGACAAATTAGATGGTAAGCCTGACAAAAACGATTTGAAAGCTGAAAAGACTGATTTAAAGACACCCGAGAAAATTGAGCCCAAAGCTGAGAAAACTGATATCAAAGAAAAACCTGACAAAGTTGATCAAAAGTCTGACAAGTTGGACAAATCAGATAAAATTGAGCAGAGGATAGAAAAATCAGAAATTAAGCATGAAACCCCAGATAAAGACAAAACTAGACCAGAGAAAACTGAAATCAAAACTGAAAAACCGGACTCAAAATCTGACAAAATCGACACAAAGTCAGATAGAACAGATAAATCTGACAAGAACCACAGGCACAAGGATTCTGACAAACATCGTTCTGACCGTTCGGAGAGGTCAGATAAGACAGACATAAGGCACGAGAGGTCTGAGAAGGATAGATCAGACCACCACCGCCGTCGCTCGTCATCGTCCCGTCACAAATCGTCTCATCATAAGTCAGACCGACCGAGGGAACATAAGAAAGAGCACAGGAGTTCAGACGAGAGGAGAAATGAGAAACACAGAGACCGGTCTGACAGTAGTAGAGATAAGTCGGACAAGATGCCCGACAGCGGGAAGTTACCAGTGGATGTAGTTCAGCGACCACCAGATTAGTGGACTAGAGTGATACTGTGAAGTGAGTGTTTCGTGAAGGATTTTGATCAGTAAGTATGTTGTTATAAGTTTCATCATAAGATCTTGATCACTTGAATTGGTTTCGGAGCGGATCTCATATTTTATACGTCTGATTTGTGTGACTGATCGAGTTGGGAAATTATTAACTAATTTATTGTACTATCCGTTAGTATAATTGTTGTTTTATTTACATTTCGCTGTCTATTCAACGCTATTTTATTTAGGAATACTATAAAACGGCTGGACGCTTTGTATAATGCCGTCTTTTTGACCGGCGGAGAGACTGTTTGTCTGCGGATTTTGAATTTGGACGTTTTCAAGTACAAACTCTTTATTCCTGCCGTTTCATAGTGTACCTAGCTAATATTTTTAAACTGCCTGTTACATGAAACATATATTTGAAGGGGCCAAAACGACACGATTTTGCGGAATAATAAAATCATTGACACTTGCACTTCAATATATATTTAGGTGAATTGTAGAAAGTTCTTCAATAGCTCGGGGTCCTTCATGAAATAACACCAACTTCTTAGCACTAGGGTACACTGTAAATAATATTTATAAGCGGCCTCTTAGAGGCTAAGCAGAGATGGTTCTTGAATGAACGCGCAGTTTTAGATTTCTTTTCAGTTGTAGAATATGCGCGGTTAACTCCAGTTTATTCTTCAATAAGATTTTGAAAAATCATAACTGTTTCGATTTGTTTTATTTTAATGACAGACTTACAGAAGCATTCTGTGTCAATTACGAAAATTAATAACAATCGTATTGTGGTTGCTATCAAATGGAAATTATTTAATTTATCTATTTTACCAAACTTTTCGCTCGTAAATCCCAGTGATATAATAAAATATCTTAAAGAGCAGCTATCCATGATAAATCAAATATTGTAAGTTTTATACATAATACTGAAGAATTTAAGTTGATTTAAAGTTTCGTAAAAATCATTCAAGTTGAATATAATCAGTATTCCCGATCCCAGTATCAATTGTAATGTAATATATAAATAAATTACGTATAATTTTCTACATTTCAGTCCATTTCTTATACTATGTACATATTATATATTATGCGATTCATATAAATCAATTTTATATATAAAATCTAAAACTGCGTCGCGTATGTGATTTGAGAGAGTTTTAAACGAAACGTAAATGAAAGAATAATATTAATAAAAATAAATAAATTTTAAGTAAATATAAATTTATTCACACATATTTCTAAAAATTGCACTAGAAAAGTAAATTATTATATATATTATTATTCTGAATAGATTACATTGTCTACTGCCGATGACTTTGACACTGTTTCGTGGTAAAATCTAATAAAATGCGAAATAGCCATTAAAAAATATATATTGTACCACAAAAATATAAAATACCTAAGAAAAAATAAGGCCAGAATAATTTTTAAATTTATAATATGGTAGACATTTTTAAAAACTACCATTGCCTTTATTTTTTTTCTCTTGCAGCACTATCCAGTGTTGCCATATACAGTCGGTCTGGCAGTAGACATTATATTTGAGGTTAATTATCGAGTTTTATGGATTCATATATTTTGGTACTTACATAGTGTTTTGTGACCACTCATTGTGAAAATATGTCTCCAGTTTTTAATTTTCTTGTCATTCAGTCCGGTTGGTCAGTCCCTTTTTATTGTTTTTGTAAAATACCTGTTTAAAATTCTTGATCTGTCTTTAAACTAAGAAATAATTTCTATTTGTACTGCCCCCAAGCGGCGGAGATATTTACTTAATTTACATCACCATTTCCGACGACAGATCAATCTGATATTTGGTACATATTTCTAATCTAGATGACGTTACAATATAATCTATGAGTTGAGGAAAACCTCAACTACGTCTATTATGGATATTAAACATTCTACCAATATACAAAAGGTATGTTCCTTAAAGTCGTTTAACTTAAAAAATATTTTAAAATTATTACTTGTATGTGATATTCTGAATAACATCAATAGAAGCACAGAAAAGTGCTATTTGGTGTGGCCAGATATTCTCTTATTTTGTAGTTTGTTTACAAACATTTTACATTGATCTTGGCCGTAATTAAATCTTTGACTGCCAGTAAATAAATGTTAAAGGCAAATCTTTGGCTAACAATGCACATTATGGCGTGCGCTGAATAATTAAACTTGAAACTGTCAAACACCAAGCGGTCACCGGTGACCGCAACCTATTGTTCTATAATTGTGTCTATAATGACGGTACTCGACGAGTTAAAGGGTTAACCAGATGATTGCACTGGATTATAGAACTTTTATTTTAGTTATATTTTTGTAAGGAGTTGAAAATCAATGCAGTGGTCACAAACAATAAAAGAGAAGTTCTTTAAAAATCATTGAAAATAATAGAAATAGTGTTGAGATTGTGTTGAAGTGTTTAGCCGCTCCATAGCTTCTTATTTTGTAATACAAATTATACAATCTAACTTTATTGTAAGATCTTTGAATATGTGGTGTGAGCTAAGCCATCAGATAGTCGGATATTCGTGTCTGATACATTTATATATAAAACCTTCGTTTGTCAGTCAGTTTGAAATGTTTTTGAGTTGGCTATCCCTATGGATGTTATATCTTTATGGATGTCATAAAATAGACAACAGTTGTCTATTAATATTATTATTTGTTGTTGTCTATTATTATTTCACGGACAAATACAGATTATAGTAACTATAATCTGTAAGATGATGATGATTGATGATTAGATGTCCAAAGTGTACATATCTGATATATATTGCAGATTTAGAAAATTCTCCTGTGTTTCTTAATTATAAAATGGTAAGACACTATTGATGATAGTTATTTGATGTACAATTTCCATACTTAACCAGGTTATGTGCTTTACCAAGAAGGTAAAAATTGCCTGAAATTTCCAAATAAATAAAAGAAATTAAACCATTTAGGGATCATAAAATTGAACGGTAGATTAATTCGTACTGTTAATTTCTGCAATCATTCTAATAGAGAAGATGTATATAAAAACAAAACTTAGCTCGCACCACCTCCCAGATAACTAAATACAGCAATAATATAGTGACTTGTCCGTTAAATGCCCTATCTGTTACTTAGATGAAGACAGTATTATTAATGTTTATAGACAATTCTAGTGACGAACTTAGCACTCTGCTTATCCTAAGGAAAGCTACCAGCATCTTATGTGACTTATGACCTGATTTTACAATTTTATTAAAGCGACATCTGTTGGTGTCCCTTTGGAAGTTGGAAGTGTATGTCGATAGATGGCGCTGCAATCAGCATGCGTATTTTGTTTTCTGTTGGATTACAAGTTATCGTGATTCATTGTCAGTGTTTAGGTAAGATTGCAGGCTTGTGTTGATAAAAAATACATTGTTGATCTCAACCTTCAAGGTACTAAATTAATGAAATAGTTTTCAAAATGCGATTTTTTATCTACTCAAGATTTTGAAATACCTACCAAATGTATATAAATGTCAATCGAAACTAATCACAGATTTTTTCAAAGAAATAATTTATATTTTGCGCAAACATTTTTTTTCCTAGCTGTAACGTTGATTTTTTTATTTTAAAACGGTAAGAAAATTTGTGAGTTTAAGTTAGTCCAGATTATTTGCGATCGAATGTACATTTTGTATATTTTATACTGCATAGATTAAGTGTTATGGAATAATAAATGTCTAGATTTACTTATGGGACGTTCAAATTTTATTGTTAAAAAAATTATATAAGTGAATATTTTTGCATAATAAATAATTTTCGGGGTAGGCGCTGAGTTTGAAAAGAAGACTATTTTGTCTAAAAGTTTATTTATTAGAATTGGATGTGGAGTTTTAATGATGCTTCCATAAGTAAACCTAATCATATGAATGGTATGAAAACTCGAAGGGCTGGTAGGTAATCCAAAAGACATTTGAAATGTTGTAAAGTAATTGTAATTTACAATTTAGCAACATATTACGATCGCCTTGAGAGGACAATACCCTCTGAAATTGTTTTAATAATCTAAGAGTTTTCATTTAACACAAGAATGTGTTAACTTCGATCATAAATATGAGAGAGTGAATATTTTTGAGTCAATGTCGTCGTGCGCTAGTCAAAGCCAAAATCAAACTGAAATCAATTCAAAAATATAATTTCTTGCCTTAATTTTACTCTCAAATTGAATTGATGTCAATTCTAATAACTTCGAAGTGTACCACACTAGATGGCGCTGTACTAAGTTTTGAATGTTTCGCTTGTTTTGGCATATTTGACTAGATGACGAGTCTCAAGTCTGAAACGCAGACATTTTTGTGATTGATAAATATTTAACATATTTATGTTTAGGTGGTTAATTTATTGTTTCATGTTCCCTATATTTTTTTGAAAATAATAATTAGATTATAAATAGATTTTGTCGTTTTATTTCTTTATTACTTCCTTTTGCAGGTCCTGGTAAATACAATACATATGTATAATAACATAGTAAAAACATAGCTTCTATACAAACAATATCTTTAAAAAAATTAGAAAACAGGGTGACTATATAACAGTAACAGAGTTCATTTTTGAAATAAAAAAAAAATCTGTTTATGTACATAAGTCTGCACTGGCTAATCTTCGGAACTAGCGAAAGGACTAGAATGAAACTTTATTTGGTGTGTAGCTAATTTGTTGGGACAACATATAGGTATTAATTAGTTTTGAAAATTGGAATAAAAAAAAGTTCTATCTAAAAGTTAAAATTCTACGCAGAAGCGAATTTTTTACGAATTCTTGCGCAAAAAATTGCCTAACATTTACAAGTTTTTTTTTTTATATATGTGGCAAAAATGCACACGGCCCACCTGATGGTAAGCGGTTACCGTGGCCTATGTACGCCTGCAACACTTGGGGCATTACATGCGTCTTGCCGACCCTTAAGAAACTATTACCAATTCACTCCCCTCTTGAAGAACCCCATGTTGTAACATAAAAGAGGGGAGTGAATTGAAGTGGGCTACAGCCCACTGGAAAAATCACGGCAGGGAGTTCATTCTACAATCGGAGGGTCCGTGGGAGCAAATTCCTGAAACCGAACTGTACGGGACCATTTGGGCTCCAATGTGTGAGCCTGAACTCCCTGTCGATGGCGAGCGGTGCGGTGATAGAAAGTGCCGTGTGCATCATATCAAACAATTCCGCAGAACACAAACCATTATACAAGCGGTAGAACACGCACAAGCAGGCAAAATCTCTCTTTAGACTTAAGTGCCGCCCGTAAGTATAGGATCGTCAACAAGTCTTACAGCTCTTCTTTGGACCGCATCAAAATGTCCATCAGTGGCGTGCACAGGTTTTCGAGACAGGGTAGGCAATTAAATATCGTATGATTAAACCCCTCCCCCCGGTCATACAATGACAATCATACTCACACAAGACAGGTACCTACATGTACAGAATACATTTTGAAAAGTGCTTTCAAGAATATTGTGGTTTATTTTGTCGCCAAATTACATACACTGACATCTCGCGTATTTTTTGTGAACTACTTCATCAGCTATGGAATAAGCCAACAAAACTTACAAATAATTGAACATCTATTAATTATACTAATAATGAAGCATAAATTTGATGAACCAAATTCAATTATCGAATTGCTAGATAATCTATTCAAAATCATAATATATTACGAATTTAAGAACGTAGGTACCTACCAACAAACAAAACAATAACAAGCGCGGCTGTGGCCGAGTCGAGTATTTATAAGCGGTACATTTGTTATTACATTACATAATTATTAATAATAAATTAATATGTAAATCAGTATGATATTTTTTTTTTTCATAGTGATATTTTTAAGAATTATCAAACAAGAAAATCAATAAAAGATCCATTAAAGTACATAATATTTACATTACCTACCTTTGACTTGGGTCAATTCTCGTAACTTGAGTACTGCCTATGGTCATTACCTGAATCTAGTCGTTGTAGGACACATTTTTGCGAAAACTTACTGTTTTTAACTTTCAACAAACACAAAAAATTATCTATTATCAACACAAACTTCACAATCGAATAATATAGGTACTTGTACTAGACACTGATAAACAAATACACTATTTGAAAAACCTACACATACATTTAACTACTTCTACACATATTTATGCAACTTTATGTTTAAAACTAATTCCTTATAATTTAAACGAAAACATAAACAAAGCGATCGCACATCACATGAAAACAATATGGCCGAAAACATTGGAATGAATGAACCCATCGTAGTCAATTGAGTGTTTATTATAAAAAAATTATAGCTATAACATTAAGGCAACCCAGTGTTTAATTATAAAAAAACAAAACGTTAATTTACATAAGTCAAATGGAATTCCGTCATTGTCTTATTATTATTTTCCAATAAGAAACATTCGTTGATAACAATTTGAAACTTTGAGTACAGCCCTTATTTACTTTTAAAATAATAAAGTCAACTCCTCGTTTAAAGTTTCTATAAACCGACAACGCGTAAAAATGTTAAGATTTAATTAAAATACCTGAAACATATTTTTTTAGTATGCATAATTATAAAAAGACATTCGCATTATATCGAACGTGTTCAGAAGTTTTAACAAAAAATTCAATAGATGGCGCAGATTCATAAATTTCAAAGGCCGGCAGCAATGACTTTTTTGCGTTTATGAATGGTTATTCTCTGCTGTGACCATAGTCACGTGACCTTCACGCATGCGCGTTGCATACTTTTTGTGACGTCACAACCAACAACCAAGATTTAAGGAATAGTAGCGCATGCGTGGTGCGTGCGGGGCGCATTCATTGCTTTACAAAGGCGTGCGGTCCGTGTATAGTATATGTGAATGTATATTTATGTTAGCCGTTTTTTTACAAACTTTTATTTTATTATTGAATCTTAATAAACGCGTTTGTACATTTTATGTCAAGCAAAGCCTTTTTGCCTATATGGACTGCACGCCACTGTCACTAGATATGTCGACACCAAGGATACCTATACTTTTGGAGATGTTAAAGGGTATCTTGGAATTTAGGGGGTCACAACGAATGGGGTTTTTTTAGCGGTGAACGCAAAAACTTGTGTCTTGGAGGAGTTGAACCGGTCCATATAGTCCCGACTCCAATCGGAGACTCGGCATAAAGTACTCTCGATTTGAGACACAAGTTTTACGCGGCTTTCTTCCACAACCGAACGAGGGATGATTGCATGGCCCGTGTAAGATACGTCCCCTGTGCTATCATCAGCATAGCAATGAATACCCTCAACAGACAGCAAATCATTGATATGCAGAATAAACAGCGTCGGAGAAAGTACGGAGCCCTACCGTCTACGACAGCTCTTATGCGTCGGCCGGACAAAAAGCTAGCAACTCATTTGCACAATCCCTCGGGCTGTCCGTATGATGGCAACTTCGTCAGAAAACTCTGGTGCCAGACCCTATCGAACGCCTTCGCTATATCTAGGCTAACTGCCAATGCCTTACCTTGACTCAATGGCCGAGGCCCAACGATGTGTGAGATACACTAGAAGATCATCAGTCGAGCGACTGTGGCGAAAACCGTATTGACGATCGCTGAGCAGGTCGTGCTCCTCTAGGTACCGAAGGAGCTTGGTATTGATTACTCGCTCCATCACCTTGGAAAGAAGGGAGGTAATAGCGATAGGCCTGTAATTCGTCGGGTCTGTTCTATCGCCCGTTTTGGGCACCGGATGCACGTAGGCGGTCTTCCACAAAGACGGTACTTGTCTAGCGCGCTCGACTTATGAGCATCAAGACTTAGCAACTCCCGCCGAATATCTCTTTGTGAGAAGTGAACTTTCGCCATAAAGTGGCCGTAATGCGGGATGTTAGGTGGTATGGTGCTTTCGTCGACGTTCAAAGTTGAGTTAGATGCAAAAAGAGTGCCTAACAGATCGGCTTTCTCTTTTGCACTGTGGACCAGGTTGCCATCGGTATTTTGCAGTGGCGGTAAGGACGACTGACAGAAGTTACCCTCGGCAGCTTTGGCAAGTGACCAGAAAGTACGACTCTCCGAGGGATAGCTTGTTGGCTTCTCGCCAATTCTACCGATGAAATCGAATTTTGCTCTGGCAATTTTAATTTTGGTGAACCTCGAGGCAGCATTAAGTTCGCGTTTCACAACAGAAAGATCGGGATCGCGATTGTTACGAGCCGTGGTCCAAGCCCTGTACGCGACTTGCTTGAGTTGTCTAGCAGTTTTACAGGACCTATTAAATCACAGTCGTTTCTTCGTCCCTGCAGCGACCAGCAAGTTTGGAATAAAATATTCCATACCCGTCAGTATAGCCTCAGAGACAGCGGTTGCGCAAATGTCGAAATCCTCTGAAGCAAAACAAAGCTGCCTCCGCGGGTACGATGCGTAATACTCCCGCAATCCATCCCAGTCTGCTGACTTATACTGCCACAAGCGCCGCAAGTTAGTTGGTCGAGGTGGATTCAATCGAGCGCATGGTGAGAGTCCGGATAAGACAGTGGTCGGAAGATCCGAGTTCACGAAGATCCACTGATATGGAATATCCATTCAGACGTTGGGTCAGCAGAAGGTCCAATATGGAACTCGTATGGTTCTCAATGACCGGTATTCTTGTTGGAGAATGTACCAGCTGTGGAAAACCATAGGCCAGAGTGAATTCGTGAGCACACCTCCCAGCGTAGTCAGTGGACCTGTCACCGCTATAAGAGCTGTACCTATAGGCACGCGTTTATACGGCTGTGGCCACCGTAGTCTATGTACACCCACAATATCGACAGGTCCCTGTCTTCAACATGGCGAAGACGCCGACAACAGACATCCTCCCGAACGTACAGACATACACCGGCACGTCTCAGAAAATTATGTTCGAGTTTGTAGCCAGGATAATTCAGGTACGATATATCGGCCGGGCAGGATATCTGCGTCTCCGTGAGATAGAGTAGGGTCGACTTCGCAGTCTCAAGGTGTTGGTGGACTGCGTTAAGGTTTCCATGAAGTCCCTTAATGTTGCAATAGTCCACTTGGGTGGATAGGGGTGCCGCTGTGAGTCGCATTTTTCTGGTTTTCTTCTTTTTAATTTTGTTTATGTAGGGGTTTGAATAGCCTTGATGAGGAATTATTGATAGTTTAGGAGATAATATTGTAATGCCGACCTACCACAGGCCAGCACAGGGGTGCAGTTTATCGACGCAGCATACGAGATGGCCCCCAGTCCCCTACTGCAGTAGCCAGGTCCACTCCGGTCTCGTTCTCCGGCACGACAACTACAGCAGGGATTTTTCACGGGTTGCCAGTGCAGCCTCAACACAAAGTTACAAACAGCAGTGATAATGCTGGCTAAGGTCGGCCTAAGAGATCACGTGCTAATCACCAACTGCTAATACTTACCATGTTCTGACTGGCTGACTGATTCATAAGCGCAGAGTCTAAACTATCAGATCAGGCTATAAACATAAAATTCAGACTGTTGTTTATTCACTTTGTCATGTAGTTAAGCGGGTGCTTAGGCTTAGGCTAACCCCACATTTTTTTTTTCATGGCGTAAGCCGGTAAACGAGCTGACGGATCACCTGATGGTAAGCAATCGGCGTCGCCCATGGACACCTGGAACACCAGAGGAGTTACTAGTGCGTTACCGGCCTTTTGGGTTTGGTTACATTTGGCGTGCGCGTTCCTCGGGCGTGTGAGCTGCACGAAGGCAGCGCGCGTGTAGCGCGCGCGCTGCTCGAGCGTTGGATGTTACCATGTGACGTGTATAAGACTTGCGCGCGGCGCTCGCCTTATCGATTAACCCCTTTAGACAAGTCAGTCACAATTTGGCCAGTGCCGTGTTAGCACACGTCGATGCGCTACTGTTCTATAATTACTAACAAAATGGACTCAGACGAGGAAACTACTGTTAGCTTTGCTACTAAAAAGAAATAAGACACGTAATAAAAAGACTAAACGCCTATGGCAAGATACATTAAGGTCTTTTTGTTCACAAGAAAGTGATTACTATATTTTGTATTGTAGACATATAAAGAATAGTGAAAAGCTTTCGATATTGATTTCACTCGGTGCCTCCATTTTTAACGCGTGTCAACACACAACTGTCCACCATGCGACTGACCGAAACAGTAGCGGGTGGCGGGGATTGCGGGCGAAGGGGTAAGATCGCGACTCGAGCGTCGCTCACGCAGCGCGCAAGCGGCGCTCGCGCTACTCGCACGCCCGAACATCGCGCACGCCAAGTGTGGGGTCAGCCTAAGAAATTGTTTTAAAAATCCACCCCTTAGAGGTCAGAATAGAGGATGATATTAAATATGAAACAGTTTTGCATTTCTCTTATTGAGGTAAAACAAACAAATACATATTTCAGGAATTTTTTATTTATTCAATATGCTTCATGCATAAAATGTACAAATATGTAGGTGGACTTATTGCCGCAGGCATTTTCTACCAGTCTGACCTTTGGGTGATACAGAGAAGAGTAAATGGTAGGTGCAAGAGGCAACCAAAGATTATATTTAACAAATGAAGGATAAACTATTATATTTCAGAGATATACATGAATAAATATGATTGTAATATATACCTACATTACCTACATATGAGTACAATATACCTATTTAGGCTAAGAATTGAAAACAATATATGTAGTTTTTCAGGAGTACTGGAAATTTTATACTATACTAACTGATCCCGGCATACTTCGTACCGCCTAAAAACTTTTCCTCACCTTTTAAACCTTCCCTGGACTTCCAAGAACATTTCAAGATCAAAATTAGTCAAATCGGTTCTCGAGTTTTAGCGAGACTAATGAAAGGAAATTCTTTTATATTTATATAGAAGATGGGGTGAAATAGGGGTCGAAGTATGTAGGTAGGACTATATGAATTGCATTATGATTGGAGTACAATATCTAGAAACGCATAGGATTGAAAATCGGGGATTTCATTTCGTAGGTTAAGCAGCTTAGTTATTATATAGTATAAAGGTAAGTAAATAAAACAATAAAATAAAATTTTGTTATTTATTCATTTCTTACTCTCGAATAATATAAAAAATCGGCAAAACTTTTTAAGTACAAACAGAGAATCCAATATTCAGTCACATAGTCAAAATTAACTAAAATACATTTCAAAATGTATCTATTAATAACAAACATGCGATATTACAGACAATAGTTATATTAATTATTAATTTAAATAATAAATGAGATTATTAGAACATCGAGATGGCACAGAGAGATATTTATAACTATATCGAGGCAGGACAGTGTTGCCAGATTAAAAAATCACAAGTGAAAGGCAAGTTCGAGTTCACTTACAAATAAACTTGTGAAAAATAAGATAAAACATAGAAATACTCATACATAAGATATATCAACATATATCTTGTCGAGTATTCTGATAATTCTCTCTTTACACGTGTGACTAAGCTTAACAATAAACAGTTTTCACATAAAATAATTATAAATATTAAATTAAATAAATGATCTCCATGAAATTACAGAATAATGACATTTTCTCTATATAATTTGATTAACTATTATATAATATTTTTTGTAGAATTTCTCTAAAAAAGTTTTCTTTGAATTAATTGCACGTTCTAAGGCACTTTTTGTTTTAAAATGCAATCTCTATCAGTCGCGTTACCGAATGTTAATAAATATGTCTATCCTAGAGAATATTCATCAATTTGATAGGCTACAACCGTTACTTACTTACTAAAATACAATAGTTGGCAAGTGGTATATAAAAAAAGATTTTACAACGAACGATAAAAGGTTAATATTGCTTTGGTTGGTGTGGTAGACTCGCGCGGCGGTCACTGTCAACATAGAGAACACATTATTAGTTCAAAGAATATGGGATAGAAGGCAAACGAGCAGACGAATCACCTGATGGTAAGCAATCAGCTTCGCAAATGGACCCACAACACTAGTGTTGAGGCTTTTGAAAAATATTTGAAACTAGCTTCTTGTAGCGACTTCGGCATTACAATTGAATAAAAAGTGGCATGTGTTCCACACTATAATCGACCCCTGTTCCAAATTTTATCTCGATTCCTTCGGCCATTATGAGGTGCCGTAGGAAATAAATTTTCATTTCGTATATTTTCTATTTACTCACCACAAATCTGTTGACTTTGGGAACGAAGGTTTTTGTAACATTCGACTGCGTCACGTTCATGCTCTCGAACTTCTGACGCAAGCTGCAAACACAATATTGTAAAGGTTATGTACTAATAAACACATAGGTCGTTTTCACCCCATCCATCAATTAGAAAATCTAATTTAAAAAGGCACCCCCTAGAAATAAGAATATATAAAACTTATAATGAATCAGACCTTCAGTTTCCAAACCAGTATCTTGAGTACCGTACCAGTATTAAGATACTAAGAAATAATTATCTTACTAACGGTAAGCCGTTAGTAAGATAATTATTTCTTTTTACTTCAGACGGGGTAAAGATGCTGATTACGATGACAATTGGGTTGCCTTAATCAAAGATAAATTATTTCGACTGTTCAATACAATAAAATATTAAATTTCATTTTGGTTTTACGACCAACTTAATTATAGTATTCTCCCAGCAAATTTTTAAGAAATAAGTACTATGCTGTTTGACGCTAAAAAACCGTGACGTCACAATACATAGAATCTCGTACAAAATACATAGAAAACTGTCATTTTTGACAGTTCGAAAGAAGTATTGAATTTGACTAGTCGGCAAGTACCCAATTATAGTTTCATAACGTGATGAATAATGAAATATACCTCTTAGCGGTTTCGAGCTGACTTTCCCCCTCCTCATCATTCTCTGGCTGTCGTTGTATGACGACAGTGGAGGGCGAGCGTTGTGGTTCCGACTCCGACCAGTTCTCGAAACGGTCGCGGAAGCTCTTCGTGCGGGCTAATTGCTGAGCCTGTAAAATTTAGAATTCAGATGTCATTTGATAAGGCAATATTCGCTACTGACTGAAGATATTGCAATATAGTGTTAACAATTAACTTTGAGGCCTCAGACTGGTATGAAACTACTCGAGTTGTCTCGTTAAACAGTTACTCGACTGAGCTTCCTCCTTTTTCTATCCTCATTTCTTATCTAAATTTGAACGTAAATTTTGTTTTATAGTTCAAAATTAATCAAAATATTTATCCCAATAACATAACATAACATCACGCCTTTTTATCCCCGAAGGGGAAGTCAGAGGTGCACATTTCGGCACTTAATGCCACTGTACAATGTAACAATCACTTTTCACTAATTATGTTACGAGTCCCATGTAATAGAGGGTGAGCCTATTGCCATATACCGTGCACTTTTCCAAACTCCGTGCTACTACTGAGATTTTTTAAAAACCCAGTAATACTTTGCCCGACCCGGGAATCGAACCTGAAACTCCATGCCCGGCAGTCGCACTTGCGACTTGCGAAAAAGACTGACCTGCTTAAGAGCTTCGTCCCTCTGTCTGGCTTCAAGGTACACTCTGCGACGCTCGTCCTCACTGTCCTCTTCCTCATACTCCTCAGAAGAGTACTCCTCGGAGGATGTGTCTCCGTGATGGTTGTTCTCTCCGGGTGGGGGAGGGGTAAACCTCTTCAAAGGTTTGGGACCTGTGGCGGGAAAACAATATCAACTCTATCAGGATTGGAATATGTTTATGTGTAAAATGTCGAATTTTATTAAGCGTGCCATCTGTTGAAACATGAAATCAACTATTATTGCCTCAATGCCGCCAGAGTCACTAGTGGCAAACACCTTCTTTCTCGAATTCACTACAGTGAAACCTGGTTAAGTGAGACATCAAGGGACCTGCAATGTCGTTTCACTTAAAGAGGTATTCCACTTACCCAGTGTCTCAGATATACAGGTATAAATAAATATCTGTCTCATTTACAGAGGGTTCGATTAATAGAGGTGGACTTGGAATTACGTGTGGAATTTGTGGGTAGAATAAGAATGAGTAATGCATATAAAATTTATTCGCTGTCTCAGTTATAGAGGTAACTATGATGATAAATCGAAAGAATAAATCCCAGATATAGAGGTTTACCTCGTCCCACTAACAGAGGTATTCAGTGCCAAAGTGTTGGGACCTCAGCATGAGTTCCAGTTATGGAGGTTTCTCACTTATCCAGGTCCCACTTAACCAAGTTTCACTGTATTTATTAATATTTCAATCCTTCAAAACTGCCACTATTTAGGATTTCTACATGGACGTCTGTCTGCCTTGGATATTGTGGTGACGTGAAGGTATGAATTCAAAACCTTTAAGTACCTTTACAGTAGTACACAAGTACATACATTTCTTCTAAGTTTGTCATGTAATTCTGAAATCACCAACTTGTTGTGAGCAAGGACAATAATGAAGCATTATTAACTCTTTCAGTCACACTTTTAACTGGTTACGAATATATTTTATTTGAATACTGAAATGCTTAAAAACCAATGCAAAGTAATTTGAAGCATACTTCAAAAATTGAATTTCTAAGAAAAGGTGGTTAGTTACAGTGACCACCAAGACTGAAAGAGTTAAACCGAGCATTCCTTTTCCGTTTGAGAAGAGGCCTTTGAGGAATGTTATTAGTAGTTTATCGGTCCGTGTACACCAAAGTAGTACCGTGCGCGTCGTCCGGCTTGTTCTGCTGGTGCTCGAGCTGTCGGAAGACGTGTATCATGCGGCGCGCCGTGCGGCGGGCGGCCGCCACGCCCGCGTCGGCCGCGCCCTCCTCGCCGCGGACCACGCTCGGCTCGTGGTAGATCTCGGGGGACGGGGACTTGGCGCGCTGCGACCGATAGTAACAACTTCATTATACATTACTATCATTCAAATGTCGTATGGTGACGACACTGGCACACAACCCACATATATCGTGTCGTAAGATCTGTCTAAGGGAGTACGAATTAGACATAGAACAAGCAATACCTGATAAATCTAAATCCTTTAAACTTTTATCTCCTTGTCTGCTAACAGCGGATTATGGCAAACTCATTTTTTTATTGAAGAGGCTTTTTTTTAAGGGGGGAAAATCATCGAATGACTGCTCCCGCCTGGGTGAGGCAGGAGGGAGTCAGACTCTTACTGACTAAAAACCGCCTCGTTCCTTCTCCTGCACGTCGAGTCGGAGCCCCGGTTACCCGTTAGGTTCTCCGCGACAATTGAGGAGGCTTACAGTCTAGCGGTGGACTGCTACGAGCTCAGGGCTATCATAGACTACGCTGGGGCCTTTGAGCACACAAACAATAATTCGGGGCCCTTTCTGAATGTTTTTTTTAACACCGCGCCAACCAAGCAGAATGCATATTGTTATTAATACTTATTATTACTAGCTGTAAATCGATGTATACTAAAAATAAATAAATAAACATCTTTTTCATCATCAAGAACAAATACTTAACAATAATGATTACCTGTGTCTGCCTGGGCGGCGTCATACGGAACTCCTTGCGTTCGCTCTTGGGCTTGTAAGTCTCGAAGAACTTGAATCGGTCCGATATGTCGGACGTCTCGATCTTCACGTCTTCCATCTTGTCGGCCGCGCGCACCACGTCCTTGGGGATAAAGGGCTGGAGACAGAATGAGATAATTTGTAAATACCTACTTATTTTAAACGAACTGACGGAGTGCAACTGCCTGGCAGTCATCAAGAGCCTATAAGTGGACACTACTGTCCAAAGGTCTCTTCTCATACGGAGAAGGTTTGAGCATTAATCACTACGCTTGCTCAATGCGGGTTGGCGATTTCCAACTTATAATTTAGAAATTACAAAGTAATAGTAATGGGGGTCGATGGGAATCATAACATAAATAGTGAAAAGTGGGTGTTATGTACATTGTACAGTGCCATAATGTGCACCTATGCCTACCCCTTCGGGGATAAAAGGCGTGATGTTATGTAATTATAAATTATAAATCCAGGTTTCCTCGCGATGTTTTCCTTCACCGTTTGTCAGTGGTGTCTAGATAATTTAAGAGAGTACATATAACTCTGAAAAAGTCACATTGTTACTTGCTATTGGTAGATTGCGAACTCGCCCCTCATGCATGAGATACGCACGTCTCCAACCTCCGAGCCCAACATAGTTTTGGGATAATGGCAGCTTTTGTTAACTTATACAACACATATAAAGCATGATGAGGCTTAGAATTATATCTGGAGGGTGACAATAAGTTAACCTATTTCACACGCGACTTGTTATATGACTGGACAAAAAATGGGTCTTAGGTGCATTATATATTATGTGTATCTTAACTATTTCTTATGATGTGATTTTTTTTTAAATCTTTGTCCCACACTAGATTTTCCTCCTGTGTCGTGGGTGCGTTTACAAACATACAAGTTCACATACACATCACACCGAGACCCGAAAAAACAATTTGTGCATCACAAAGTGTTGTTCCGTGCGGGAATCGAACCCGCGACACGTTTCACGGCACCCGGTTGCCCAGCCACCGCACCAAAGGTGAAGTCAAGAATTAAGTGATGTAAGGCAATATCTAGTCTATTTTAATAACGTTTATATTCCTATTTTGAACCCTAAAATCCAGGATAGTAAGTCAATGTACTCACAATTTCCTTCCGCTTGGGCACCTCCCCGGGTGGTGGGGAGGTGGGGGGCATGCTCTTAGCGTTCGCGTCCAGTTCTAAGAAGATAGAGCGGGACTTCTTGCCGATACCTGTAACACACACATAGTAATACTGATATTAAGACGTAATTTATTCCTTCGATGATCATAGACTGTTGAAAATTAAAATAAGAGTATAAAATTTTGTCTTCTGGTCTTTGATTCGACTGGTCCGACACCCAGGGAAATAGTAACAATGTATTCTACGCTACCGTCACTCGACTCATGATATAATCGCTCGTTTACCTCCGATACCGTAATTTATTTATTTTACATAAGTACAGATACAGACGACAGATTGAAATCGTACACAACAATCTAAATTATAATAAATAGTGATTGAACCTGAAGTCCCAATTACAACTGTACGTAACCTACTTATATCAAATTACATAAACAATTTCCAAATGTTAATTCGTTTTTCTGTACCATTTTAAGTGTGGGGGAGCCATGCTTCGGCACGAATGGGCCGGCTCGACCGGAGTGATACCACGGCCTCACAGAAAACCGACGTGAAACAACGCTTGCGTTGTGTTTCGTCGCGTGAGTGAGGTTACCGGAGGCCCAATTACCCTCCCCTTCCCAATCTCCCCAATTCCTGAATCCCCAACGATCCTCAAACTCCTAATTCCCAAAAGGCATTCCACTTGTAACGCCTCTAGTGTTCCAGGTGTCCATGAGCGACGCCGATTGCTTACCATCAGGTGATTCGTCTGCTCGATTACCAGCTTATGCCATAAAAAAACATAATTTGATGAATGATTGTAGTACTAACCTTCATTAAACAAAGCTCTATCGTCAATCTCCCGGTTCTTGGGCGGCTGGTTCTCATCGTTGAAGACCTCTCCGTTCTCGAACCTTTGTTTGATGGCGCGCGCCTTCTCCGCGTTCAGATCCAGCTCGCGGGCTATCTTGTCTGCTGAGGTTACGCCTGGAGATAAAGAAAACATTCAAAGTCAAAGCATTTATTTCAACTAATCCTTGATTAGGCACTTTTAAAACGTCAAATTAAATTGATCAGTGAAGTTAAGTACTCGTTCCAAAGCGTAGTTTCGAATAGAGAAGAACGAGCAAGAATCTCTTTGTTTTTTTTTTTAATAAACAACGTTGTCCCACATTACAATAGACATGGCGAATATTTTTTAATTTTTTGTCCGTCTATTAGATATTTTAAAAATCTTCGATACGTATTTTTTCTTTTTTCTCGTATCCAAAAAAACATGTAGATATTTTGAGTTAAAATGACGCGTGACGTCACACTTAGGTACGATTTCTCCGTAAGTGTGACGTCAACACCCCCCACTCCCTAACTTTAATGCGGAATAACTACGTATTCTTCTGTTAATTTGATAAAACAAAAAATACGTGTCTGATATTTTCGTGCGATCTTAATGACGGACTAATTACTTTTTTGATTTTTGTACCCTGTCGACACGCCTATTGGGTAGTTTCCAGGTTAAGAAAATTAAAAATCTAATTAGTCCGTCAGTTAGGTAATGAAAAAATATTAGACAAGTATTTTTTAATTTTCTCGTATAAAGTTACAATACTCAGATGAAATTAAGTTAAGTTTAGGAGTGGGAGGTCGTTACGTCATAACGTGCTACATTTTGTTGCACGCTGTGACGTCACACGACATTGCAAATCAATCTATCGTCGAAAGCATTTAAATTTGTGAGAAAAGAAAAAATACGTGTCTAATGTTTTAAAATAATGTACCAGACGGATATTAAAATAAAATTTAGGAAACTAGCCTATTTGTGGGTCACTTAAAGAGGTGTTCTGTGCGGGCTCGAACCTGCGTCACTATTCTACATGATTTGTTCATTTGTATGTCTATATTGTGATTAATACAGCCAAAGAGAGAATATTGTTTACAAAAAAAATATCTAAAAGGCTAATGCCCGAATATTGAAACGTTACTCAATTTTAAGTCGTGCTCAAATATCGTGCTATCTCTGTCATTTGGCAAAGAATTTGTAGAGATAGAACTATACTTAAGCGCGACTTAAAATTGAGTAGCGTTTCAGTATTCCGACATAAATTAACTAAAATCGCGGGTTAAACACGTGTAGTTTCGAACCACAGAGGGGTTCTTCCTCATGAGCAGCGTATTCTCAGTATATTCACGTGAGTAACTCGCGATTTTAGTTAATTTAGTATGTCTCACGATAGTTATTATAAAAACATCTAAAAGGCTATTTAAAATACCTAAAGTCACTTTGTGTGGTTATCAAAAATGCTGCCTACAGCCGATTTAACAAAGAAAGGGTACGTCGTACGATAACCTTTGTGATCTTACCTTGTTCGCTCTGCAGCACTGACTGTTCATACATCTCCTTGATCTTGGCTTGCTTGCCCTGTAATCCAATCAAATATTACTTAAATTTAACATTTCACAAAAACCACCCCGTTCCTTCTCCTGCACGTCGAGCCGGAGCCCCGGTAACCCGTTAGGTTCTCCGCGAATATATTAAATGCAAAAGTTAGTGAGGATGTATGGATGTTTGTTATTCTTTCACTAGAAAACTACTGAACGAATTAGAATGAAATATCGTATAGAAATCTATTGGAAATGGAACACAACCATACTAGTTCCTGTATTTTGATAGATATAGATGGCGCTCTAGTCCCCTTTTGTCACTCATCTTGTGAACAATTGTTAAACTTAATTTTTCTAATTAAACTATAAATCACGCTGCAAATATTCTTTATTTCATAAATTCCTACAAAATCGATTATAATCTAAAAAAAAACACAAGTGGTAATTTTTTCCGGGATCGCGAGTGAAACTGCTGACAGGTAGTATGATATAAGATCGTCAGCTCACCATAAACAGTCGGCTCCTAATATTCTGTATCTCCTGCTTCCTCTCGCGATGTCTGTCGGACGAGGAGTGTTGTCCTGTCTCGAACTTGCCAACGATCTCACTCATATTGCAGAAGGAGACTGGTTGCTCGCGGTTGGCTGTGTGCTTGTATGATTTCTTTAGCACTGAGTCTTCATCTGGAATCGATATTTTAATTATTATAGAATGTTACCATAAAGTAAACTAAAACTAACTCGGCCAACGAGGCAGTCAGGTGAGGTATAAATTAGAATATAGGTGGAATGATGAGTGATGGAAGCTCCAATATAGACAACCCATTAAAAATCATCCCTTCACAGTCCAGTTTAGAAACAAATTATGCAAGTACTCAATTTTCACTAAGAGCCAAAGAGTTATAAGCTGAGAACTGACCTTCTTCATCTTCTTCAGGCTCGCTGGAGCTCTGTTCCACCGGCACTCCGTTCAGATACTCGTCAGACACGCCGATGTCCATACCCTTCGCTTTGAACCTGAGTGGACAAAGAAGAAATATATGTAGTTAAATCCAGGTAGACAGTAAATATAAAGAATACCCCTAAATTAAAAAAAATATAGGTCTAATATTTGAGATGAATGGTATGGAGTGGAGACGTGGACTATACTGGCCTGAGAGAGACAGACGATAGATTTTTTGTAAGAGGGGAAAATCATCCAATGACTGCTCCCGCCTGGGTGAGGCGGGTGTCATACTCTTACTGACTAAAAACCACCCCGTTCCTTCTCCTGCACGTCGAGCCGGAGCCCCGGTAACCCGTTAGGTTCTCCGCGACACAGAGGATAGATGCGTTCGAAATGTGGTGTTGAAGGCGAATGCTAAGAGTACCTTGGACAGCAAAGCGCACCAATGCATCGATCCTGGCTTAACTTCGGATAAAAATTCGGTAATCCACCATATGCCAGCAACGTATACTTTCTTACTTTGGCCATAGTCCGCAAGTGCGGCGAGAAACTATAGAAGCTGATTGTTGCTGTAAGCACCGAAGAAAACAATTCGCGTTCTCCAACAAATGGACCGATCAAATAAGACTTATCCTCAAGATTTTGCACGGCTGTAAAAGACGCGCTGGACAGAAACCGCTGGAAGCAGATCATCCGCTCCAGGTGCAATCCTGATGCTGTCCACGATCCTCAGACATGAGGGAACGAGTGAAGAGAGAGAATCTTTGAGAGTCAGAAATGCGTCTTCAAATCCTTATTTCAGAGATAATAGAATGATTATATTAAGGTTAAATCTGGGTACGTAAAACAAGCAGACGTATGTCGAAATATCAAAACATCACTTAATTCTAAGTCGCGCTTAAGTCGTTCTGTCTCTACTAATTGTTTGTAAAATGACAGAGATGGAACGATATTTAAGTACAACTTGCATATAATTGAGTAACATTTCGGTATACGGGCGTTAATATTGAATAGACAAGAAAATAAGAATAAAGGACACCTAATCCGGCTCTCAAAACCGTAAATATTTCTTTAAATCCTTATTTCAAAGTAACAAAGTCAAAGTCAAAAGTCAAAGCATTTATTTCAATTAAACCATAATTTGGTACTTTTGAAACGTCAACAAATACAAAATAAATAATAGTCTGTCAGTCAGTCCGTCAGTGAAATTAGGTGAAGCTAGGTGCTCATTTCAAAATGTAGATTCGAATGGAGAAGAACGAGCAAGAAACTCCATTCGTTACTCTTAACTAACTTAACTTCCTAAAAAAAGTATGTTCTAGAATGTTTCTGATACATATTCCATCCAATACTGTACGTATATGTGAGACAATGCAAAGACACGCTTGACGTATTATACTAATTACAAAACATACTAAAATAAAAAAAAAACAAAGCGAATAACATATTCTTAACCCCAACAGTATAGTCTAAAATAATGCTTTTAATCAAGTCTCACAAAATATAGCAAACTATAATAAGTTCAGTCGACTTCATTACTAAAACTAGACGACTATAAATAAATTAAGAATCAATTTTACACAAATTCCCACCCGAAGAGAGCTTTTTATACCACACATACATCTTAAACAACCTTTTAACTATTATTAATTAAAATATAAACCAATAAAATACCTGTACATAACTCCAAAATATATTTAAACAAGTACAAAACCACACCGCACAAAACCCACTAACTAAATTCACAAGAAATATATTTAAAAAAGAAATACACACGCCTTTCTCGAACACTACGTACAAAATGATATCCATCAGTAGTTTATAATTACAAAGCTACTAAAATTCCCAGTTTATAGCATTTTCACCTTTATAGCTAAGAAGATAAGGGGTATATAGTCTGTATACAGGTTTGTCGTTATAAAAAACTATGGACCATGTTGTCTGGGTGAAAAAATGTGGCTGGAGTTTTGGTTGTATTTCGTTGGATGATGTACATTGCTTGGTTAGTATGATCAATTGATTTCTGAGAATCTATATAAATAAAACATTATTTCCGTACGTTAGTCTCGCTAAACATCGAGAACGGCTAAATGTATTTGGTTAATTTTGGTATTAAAATGTTCGTGGAAGTCCATAGAAGGTTTAAAGGGTTTGCTAGGTCAGCTAATCTTTATATCTTCTTTATATATATAATTCTTCTGTGAGTGTGTATGTCACTGAACTTCTATCAAACGACTGGACCGATTTTGATGAAATTTTTGTGTGTGTTCAAGGGGGATCTGGGAATGGTTTAGATTCATAATTCACCCCGGCAGATGGCGCTGCAGTCGGTGTCTAGGTTATTTATCCTAAACAGCTGACCTATATTGAATGAATTTTTGTTTATACATTCAAGTGGATATGCGGACAACGTTTGTCGGGTCAGCTAGTCTAATATAATTATGTAGTTTTTTGTATTGACCACTATCTCGCCTGGTGGTAAGCGATGATGAGTTATTTTATTATTGTAATGAAGATGAAAATATTTAAGTAATAAGCAAGTTCAAGGATACGATATAAAATAACATTTCCATGTGTTTTTACCCGAAGGAAAATGGTAAACTGGCAGTGAATTTAATTTTTTTAATTATGTGTTTACTCTCAACAAAATAGACTAAATAGGTTTTTTATCGAATCTCATTTTTAGCGTTGTTACTGAGAATTTTTGAAACCAAAATAATAACATTTTGCACATATCTAAGTCAAAATATTGTTATAAGCTCAAAGGAATATTATTAAAAAGAAATGGTCAACAACGGAAATGTAATATCAACACAAAATTTAAAATTCACAATATAGCTAAGTAAAATCACTATAACACCTTTTTCGAGTAACAACAGACATGACTTTATTTTGATTTCTAATAAATCCCTAAACAACCAGCAATGTATAATAATAATAAAGTTTTATTTAATTCCACAATTCGCTTAATTAAATTTACATCACTTAATTTATTTATTATATAATCAAATTAATCAACTAAATTTAATCAAATCTTATTTAAACTGTCAAACACCAAGCGGTCACCGGTGACCGCAACCTATTGTTCTATAATTGTGTCTACAAAACCGGTACTCGACGAGTTAATTTTATTTTACAATTTATTTAATCAAATTCATAAAGCTCCAATAATAAAGCTTTACCAGCAATGTACAGCAACCATATACAAATTCTCAATCAGTAAGTACTTGTGGCCGACGGTTCTCATGTGTACAGAAATAGAACTGCTGAAACGATGCGCTTACGCAAGTCCCAGCACGCCGGCTGAATCATATTGATACTTTCAATATTCATGAATATACTGTGATCATGGAAATTGGTACTTTAATGTAGAAGAGCTTTTGATGGTTATTTTGTGATGTTTAAAATTTTAATAGTACAGTTTTAGGATGAACATTATTAACATGTTTTATGTTATCTATATACCCCTATTTCACCCCATCTATATAAATAAAATT